GACGACCATATCGTGTATAACGCACTGACTAGAAGTATATGTAATGCTGTAAACAAGACGACCACATCGTGTATAACACACTGACTAGAAGTATACGTCATGCTGTAAACAAGACTAAAGTCTCATCACAGTGAAATTAATGATAAAACAGGTACTGTGTTTTACTCGTTATCATAAGGGTTGGATTCCGTTGGTAAATCCAGTTTCATCGGAATACACAGTCAACAATAAAGTAAATCCAGTTTCACCGTGATACACAGTCAACCAATAAAGTAAATCCAGTTTCACCGTGATACACAGTCAACTATAAAATAAATCCAGTTTCACCATGATACACAGTCAACAATAAAATAAATCCAGTTTCACCGTGATACACAGTCGACAATAAAGTAAATCCAGTTTCACCGTGATACACAGTCAACAATAAAGTAAATCCAGTTTCACTGTGATATACAGTCAACAATAAAGTAAATCCAGTTTCACCGTGATACACAGTCAACAGTAAAGTAAATCCAGTTTCACCGTGATAACAGTCAACAATAAATTAAATCCAGTTTCATCGTGATAACAGTCAACAATAAAATAAATCCAGTTTCACCGTGATAACAGTCAACAATAAAATAAATCCAGTTTCACCATGATACACAGTCAACAATAAAATAAATCCAGTTTCACAGTGATACACAGCCAACAATAAAGTAAATCCAGTTTCACCGTGATACACAGCCAACAATAAAGTAAATCCGGTTTCACCGTGATACACAGTCAACAATAAAGTAAATCCAGTTTTACCGGGATACACAGTCAACAATAAAATCGATAGCTACGTATATATCAGAAGTAATACTATTGGATTGGTAAGCGTCACGTATGTGTGTGTTTGCGTGACAACTTTTACAAGATGGTTGCAACTAAAAGAATGAGAACGACCAGGCGGGGGGTGGGGGTGAGAGTGGCACACCAAGGATTGTACATCAGAGGGGAGTCACTGTGATCGAGAGTAATGACCTTATATGTACGCTCGAGAAGGAATTGTGGGTGAGAGGGTTTTCATTTGTATCTTTGTTCGACGTCTCAATCCACTCGAAGCAAGGGTATTCATCTTACTGTCAGTACGTTAAACGTTGCTTTTGCTCCAGTTAATTTTGTCGATCATGTAGTACTCTTAGTTTTTGAGTGAAGAATACAAAAGTTTATGTTAAGAACAGTTGGAAGAGACCAGCAGTGTTGACATATGTTATTCATCACAGATTTTTTTTAACGAATTCAGAACACTCACTGTACACAAGGTCAACGTTAACACGCAGAGTCTATAAACATAGATATAAATTGTCACGGGTGGGAAAGTCTATAGACTTACAATACTAAGATCCAGGGTTCGATTCTCCGCGGTGGACACGGCTCAGTGTGGCTTTGCTCTAAAATAAACAAACTAATTAAAATATAACTTTATTATTTTACGTAAATAAACTTCTGGGTCTTTACTTATTTCATAATGTTTTGTTTTTTTAATATCATCGTTACTCATCTGTTTTGTTTTTTTTAACGTTTTTTTTTTCTTCCTTTGGTTGACACATATCACGTGACTGACGTATTTAGTTGAAGAATTATGCCATTTTTAGATTTCGGTCACAATCCTCTATCAAAGTGTGTCTTTCTCTATATATTTGTGTACATAACCTAGAAGTTCAAGAAGAAATATGCCCACATTGTCATCCATTATTAAAGTGGGTATAAAACGTTGTTTTCAACTTTGATATTTATGGAAAGTTATGTTTTCGTTTTTCTCATTTTAATTAAGAAACTGTGGAAGAGTTGAAATATATCGCCCCCCTCCCCTCCCCTCCCTTATTAAGAGGTGAGACTTTCGAGGCTGAGGCGTTGACTTCCCTCGTATCAAATCTTGTAATATTTGGATAAGCCTGACTAGTTCCATCATGAAACGGGTGGGCCATATTATTTTAGTACGATGCATTTTTTTTTCAAGAAGCTAAAAATGAAACACATTTCTCTTACACACTTCACATTCTGAGAAGAAATGCGCTGTTTTTTTTAGGAGCAACCCAGGTGGCAGAGACAACAAAACTTGTTTGGAGAAGAAGATAAAAGAAACCTGAAATATGCACAGATATAAAACAGCGATGTTTTAAAATCAGCCAAGTAGAAATAAATAGTTCTAAGAGTATTGTGATAATGTTTGCTTAAGTTTGGTAGATCAGGGGCTTCTTAAAATATCTTTAATTTATTTTAATTTCCCGCTCAGCAATCAACTCGATATGTAGAATATTACAGGAGTCAAGCTACTATTTTGTTTCATTCTTTTGCGATAACTACAATTTTTCTTCTAACCATATTTACTTCATCGCAGTACCGAAGCGCCATCTGGTACTGTATAAAATTAATTATACGTCGTTTTGGGGTGAAATATTTGGATATTTAGTTATTTCTATAAAAGAGAGAAACTTCGTTTTTAAGTAAACCTGCTCGAATGACTTGTTATAATTTTACTACAAATTCTGAGAATTAATTTTTGTTTTTGTTTTTAAGGATGTTCTCCAATAAATGCAATACTTGTTATAAACCTGTGCCCTCTGGCTGGTGCTAAGAGAGTTCTCTTGATAAGGTAGTTGTCATGGTGATTCAGAAAATTTGTCGAGAGCTTATTGGGCAGGGTGCTGGACTGTGAAACCAAGGATCCTTGGGGATATTTTTGGGCAATAATGGGACGAACTTGAGGCCAGAGTGTGTGTATAAAAGTGACGCGCAAATCTCACTATCTGTAGTTACCAGTAGTTGGCAGTGGATGTTGTTAATTATCTGTCTTCCCTCTTTCAGCTCAAAATTAGGGAAGGTTAGCGTAGATAGCACTTATGTAGCTTTGTACGAATATCCAAAACAAACAAACAAACAAATAAGGTTGTCAATAAAAATTGTTCGAACAGATTAATACTCATTAATAAAACAATTGGATTTTCAAACGGGGATTAAGTATAAGATAGACTATTTTTCAGGTATCTGGATTTTCCACCCTCTACAGTAAAAATAACGGAATAATAAACCCCTTGGATTAATTATTCCATCAACTAGAATAGTTCAATTTTTAAATTTTCCTCATTGATTTTGAGGCTTACCAACATATAATTTTTTAGGCTTGGTGAAATTTGTGTGATCGTATATAGTAAACAGTAAGACATGTTCATTCTTAACACGTTATATAGATCCCCGAATTTCATCATAACTGTAGGGTTCTATTTAACATATTTTATTCGATTTTTGAAGAAATTTTCTTTAAACCAGACCAACCAAACCCTAGCGTGTACTTACTTTTTTTCCCCTTTCTTTATCAGTTACAAGAAACGCCTTAGTTAAAATGATAAAAAAAAAGAACAGCGTTAAAATGGGTGTACAATTAAAAACATTTTTAATTTAGGCCAATCTATGGCCTCCAAAAAATTGACTACATATTTCGGCGTTACTTGTTATTTATTATTTCAGCGCTTCAGTGGTATGTAGTATGTTCTTGTAATATACAAAATGTAAAGTTTTTATGTACGTACAACCTGTAGGAAACTTGTACACGTGCTCACATGCGAGTGAAAGAACCAGACATCATATATAATAAACTTTAAGATGGAAATTTATGGTAATCCTGGTAGGTAGTTAGTCGTGAAATTTATTCTACACCTTCATAGATCCTTGATATTCACCAGGGTGCGCTCAGTGTTGGACATGGGTTAAGTTACATGTAAAATTCATGGGTTTCTTAAGTTTTCGTATAATACATAAATATCCAATTTCCCTTTCTTTTTTATTAATCCATACAAAAGCTCAAGCGAATTTGGTGAATAGTACATCTCCAATTTGCATTATAAGTTCGCCACTTGTTTTTCTGTCGTCACTAAACTAAAACTCTCTGAAACGTTAAGGAAAATGTATGCGGGGAAATATATCCACATCTTTCTTCCACTTTGTCGGAATACATTGCGTGATGTTCAGTTAGGCTTAATCGTCCCGGAATTTTAACAAGCCTTTCTGTATTCCGAAACATGCAGATTCGCAACAAAAATGTTAGGCTTAAGTTTATAGAGGACGCGTGATTTTGTTTTAAGGTAGATTGTACATACCAAAAATGAAATTTATTTGTTTTGAAAGTTTAAGAGCTGTTTCTCTCGTTTTTTTGGGGGGGGGGGTTCGTGGCGTTTTCTTTCTGTGTATGTGTATAAAATTTCAATATTTATACTAACTTAATTTCCTTCTAAGCGTCTCTCGGATCGTTTAAGAATAAACACATGTGTTTGACAGGGATTACAACATATTCAGTTACATATAACTTTTAACACACACGCAAACAGAGAAAAAATTTAGTGGAGTTATTGCGTTAATCTTAACTTCACTGTGATATCCTCTTTAGTCAAAGGTTTTTAATATTTATTTACGTTTCATCAGATAGCTTTAAAGAGATGTATAGGAAAATTAATTTGAGAAATTCTAATCGAATTAACCTTAACATACAGTGTGGAAATATACTAGCTGGCCTTAATTTGTATGCAGTGACGTGTTCAATTACAAGTTTTAATTAATTATTCTATATAACCATAGAATTGACAAAAGACTGAAGTATTGGAAATGAAACGAAACTCCGTCTGTATTAGGACCACTAATTTTTCTCGCACTTTTAATTAATTTGGAAAGCAGGAACTGTATTTTTTTATTGTGTATATAGCTTACATTATCTGTGAATACCCGAAGAATTGTTTAACTCCAAATTCATCAAACACAAACACACACATATATATGTGTGTGTGTGTATGCGGAACGTCATTTTCTTCTAAAAGTTACAGAATACAAAAGAACACATGTGCCCCAAAGCGTGACTAATAGCGCACCATAAACGAGTCTGATTTGTGACGTTACGGCAAGTCGTAACGAAGAGATTGCATTAGATACCTAATACATTCTTCTTTTTCTACATTAATCTATGCAACACAGATAATATCTCCGCCTGCCAAGGATGGGTGACACACAAGGTGATGTAATGTAAATACCGCCCCCAAAATACAGTATGTTTTGTCTTAATAATCTAATGTACAATTGAGGAAACGAATATAGATGTTTCCAAGTGATAAACGCTTTTAGTTTTTGAATACAAAGAAAATAATATAATCGAATTATTATAGCGTGAACCGTTAGGCTTAGCATAATACACTTTCAATAAAAAGTACTAGTAAGTAAGTGGTAACTAAAATTTGAAAGCCACGTACAGAGAAATGTGAAATTTTAGAAAATCGGAAATTTCGACTGAATTATTACAGTTGACATTGAAAAAAACAAAACGTGAAACACTTCAAGTTATACAAAATTGTATACATGAAATTCCCAGAAAACAGTGAAACGACTTCATAAGCATGCCGTTTATCGGTATCTTCTAAAACTTTAAAGAACATCCAACTTGTTTCGTTTTTGAGTGCATTTTGTAATTATGTTTATCAGTAAGCATGACTTGTAGTTGCATGACTGCAGCAACATGACGTTAGTAATATAATAAAATTAGAACCAAATATTTTACGTTCTTCTATCATTGCTCAACATCTGCTTTCCATTCGTTTAGGGCTCATTAAAACGACCAACCGCCATTTAGACCGGGAGAGCCAATCAGAACACGTGCTTGAGGTGAGTATTTACATTAATTTTTTATTTGAGAAAGATTACAAGTATTTTGAGGCTAAAACGTTATTTTTTTTTATTTTTTGGCATGACTTGTAGTTCTTTTAACTTTAATCATATAAATGTAAATGATGAACTGACGTAACTCGTCGACTGCTAACATTTTAATACTACTATTTTAAGTAATCATAAAGAGTTGTAATTTACTAACAAACAAAGCGTTCTAGAAATTCAAACTCAAAGTTTACCGTCAGTTAATGTATATATATATAACAAAACACTGGACTATTAATGTCTCATAACGGTTTGGTGACTTCAATTAAGGTCACTCTTCAGGATGTAATTTTACCGAAAATCTACAATGTTTAATTGAAAAGTTGTATGTGAACATTTTTTTATAGATTCTCAGTAAAATTACACCCAGAAGAATGGTCTTTGAAGTC